TTTCTGCAGCAAGGCCTGCTTATTTCAGTGTACGAGAAATAGCTGGGGTGGGACACATTAACACACGCATACACATTCTTTAGCTTGCATTTTGTGGGTTTATCAGCAGAATCTTGAAATATTGCAGGTGGGAAAAATGTTATACGTGGTTTGTAATTTCTTTTGCATTTCAGCCTCTTTAAAAGTTTTGCTTTCTTTCATCTGTGAGAATTTTCTTTTAAGTTTTAAAATAGGTCTTTTTTAGAAAAATAATTTATATATTAACAGTCCTTTTATATGCCTAAACTGGCAGGTGGTACTTCTGCATCCTGCAGATGTGGTTGTTAAGTTTTGTATTTAATGCATTAAATACTTGGATTTTAGGTGTGGATGCTGACAGGGGATAAGTTAGAGACAGCCACGTGTACAGCCAAGAACGCACATTTGGTGACACGGACACAGGACATCCATATATTCAGACTAGTGAGTAACACCCACCTTCCCCTCTCACAAGGCTTGTTCAGGACCCCAGATTCTGGAACAGGAGGGGTGCTGAGAGCACAACTGTTTTCCAGCAGTAGACCCAGAATATTTTTATTCTTTTGACCCAGCTTTCTATCCCCTGAGCTTTTGTTTATCTGACCGTGTGCTCTGAATAACTTGGTGTGCTGCCTGTCCATAGTACTCTTGCTCCCTCTGAGACTTGAGTGTTTGGGTTTTTTTTTTTCACCCCAATGAAGGAAACCCTTCCTCAGTTGCCATCTTTTTCCCCCAGGTGACTAACCGTGGAGAAGCCCATCTAGAGCTGAACGCCTTCCGCCGGAAACACGACTGCGCTCTTGTTATTTCTGGCGACTCGCTGGAGGTAGGCTCTGAATGCCTCAGGCTGTTCAAGAACAGCCCCAAAACACTCTGCCTGAATTAGAATTTTTTTTAAAAAGAAACTTTCATAGCACAAGCATCGGTGACGCTTCTGATCTCTGTAAATTAGGTGTGTCTGAAATACTATGAGTATGAGTTCATGGAGCTGGCCTGCCAGTGCCCTGCCGTTGTGTGCTGCAGATGTGCTCCGACACAGAAGGCCCAAATCGTGCGATTGCTCCAAGAAAGGACCGGCAAACTCACCTGTGCAGTAGGTAAGGGACTAGTTAGGGAGGAGTGACCATGCAGGATGGTATCTTTATTTTTCCTTCTTTTGAGTGAACGGTCCCGAGTCGTCTCATAATATCTGGAAATGCTGACTTAGGAAACAGTTGGTTGTGTGGGATGGTTGGTAAGGTGAAATTTTGCATATGGAAACTTCAACGACAAAATACTCATAAATATTTGGGGTGGTATCCTTGGAAAACACAGCTTGAACATGGTCAGATAAAGTTGCCACTGTTAACCTGTGATCTTTATTTCAGCATCGTCGGTATAATGGTACACCTACGAGTCGGATAAAGTGATCGGTGGCCTTGAATTCCTATGCATCTGTAAAAAAAACTTCCTGGAAGAATTTAAATTCCCAATTTGTATTTAAAATCCTGCTTTTGTTGATAGGGTTCAGAGTTTCCTGTAGTATTACGGTCTGGTGCAGATGCCTTTGGTGGGGTTGCAAGTCGCCTCTGTTGCTTAACTACCAGTGTCGTTTGTCTGTGCTCTGACCTGCAGGTGATGGAGGCAATGATGTTAGCATGATTCAGGAGGCTGACTGTGGTGTTGGAGTTGAAGGAAAGGTGAGATTACCTCATGTTTAATAAGACTTCCTATGGCAATTCAGAAGCTAGTTTGCAACTAACTCTTAAATGAATCCTTGGGAATTTGTGCAAGTAAGTGAGAGGCTTCCACAAGAATAATTGTCAGACCAATAGCCTTATCATGAAAAATAATTTGGCTGGAAAGGAGACTACTGTTTAACCGAGTTCAAGTGCATTTTTTGGTTCTTGGCACGTTCCCCGAATTTGGACCATCATGGTTAGTTTTGGGGTTTTTAATCACACGTGGATGCTCCAAATGCTGGGATTGTAATTAGTCTGATAACATACACCCTACGTGTACAGTTAGTTTAGAAAGCAAACTCTGGGTTAGAGCTCCGATCCCTGCATATGGAGCTGCTTGGAGCGACAAGACTGGATTTGGCGGCAGCGGAAAGGCTCTGCTTGCAGTGAGCCAAAACATTAAAATTGAGTGAACTTTTGAGACTGAAAATTTGTGTTCAAAACTGACTTGATACGAGTGTCACGTTAACATGCGTGTTGTGACTCATAATCCAGAGGGTTGCTTAGAATTGGAGGCCAGGGTTCAAATGGGAATTCTCCTCATATTTTTGCTCTTTGCTTAAAAGCCATGGTGGAAGGCAGAAGTGCTGAGGTAATACTCTCCCCCACTTAATGTATTGCAAATTTTCTTGGAAATTCTGTCAGTGATAACTAAATAATAATACGATATTTCTTTGTTTCCGGTAATGAAATGATCTCACTATGCTTTTACCTGTTGTTGTACACAGGAAGGAAAACAGGCATCACTTGCAGCAGATTTCTCTATCACTCAGTTTAAACATTTGGGTCGTTTACTAATGGTGCACGGAAGGAACAGTTACAAACGGTCTGCAGCTCTCAGTCAGTTTGTAATCCACAGGAGCTTGTGCATCAGTACAATGCAGGTAAATGGACTGTCATGAGGGCTTTTCCACTGGAGAGGTGAAAAAGCAAGCCCAAAAAGTAAAGGTTCTGTGTTTCATTTTGGATGCAACTATTTCTTCTCCTGAAAATTTTCATGGGTTGAAACTTGAGGTTGTTACTTGGGTATGAAAACACATAAGAAGGTTCCTGGTGTTGGACAAACGTCAGCAACTTCTCCAAAATTGGACAAACAATACTTTACCTTAGAAAACACTGCTGTGATGCAGCATGTTTTTGCTGTCATTTAGTAATGCTAGAAAATACTGAAAATCTGAAGCAGGGCACTGCTCTTAAGGAAGGTCCCTGCTGAGTAAGTGCGCTTCTTTTCAGGTGCGTTTTAAGTAAGGCCTTCAAGTAGTGAGACCAAAGTTAAGTAGCTGAGGAGGACCTGGCTCAGACCCTGATGAGGTTACCAAAAGCTCGGTCTGGCGTGCTGTGGAGTGTTCGCAGGAGCCGTGCCGCAAAGGCTGCTGAAGCACATATTAACCTTCCCAACTGTTCGGCAGTTCGCTGCAGCAATGTGGAGGAGGTCTGTTCCTCTTCATTTCAAAGGGAACCTTAGAAACAGATTTGGTATTCACAAAATTTACATTGTTCATGTGTGCTGAGCCTCAGTGTAACAAAAATGCAATTGCCAGTTGGCAAGGAGAGTTGAAAGAGATTTTAAGAGTTCATGAGCCAAATTCCGTTCTTAGCTGTGGTGACTTGAGTGAAAGTTACAGTTAAGGACAGAGGTTGCTCTTTGGGAGTTGCATTCCCATGCCATAGTGTACTGATGTGTTCCTTAACAATACTAAGTTTTCTAAATAAAATACTTGATATTTTTGAGAAGGCTGGTTCCGCCCTCTCCCCTTCTTAGAATAAACATGTGGGAGAGGGATGCATAGAGACAAAAGGTTCAAATTCAGGGGACAGTCTAGCTTACTCCGCGGCTAAAAACAAGAACAGAAAACCAACCCATAACTTCTGACAAAAAAAAAAAAAAAGAAAAATTAATCTTGAACCCTTTGGAGTTTGTACTAGTGAGTGTTAACTCTTTACGTTGTGAAGGCATCATCCAGGCATAAATAAGTATGCACCTGTCCTTCTGTCCATCTGGATGGCTTTGATCAAACCAGTGGGCTTTGGAGGAAACTCTTTATGTTCTTTTCTGTGGAACTACATTACAAAAAGTTTTCCAAGTCCAGCTCTCCAGTGTTTGCTATTAAACATAGCTTTCATCCAAGGTTTGCATAGGAATAAAAAGGGTTGATATTACATTCTTCTGTCTTCATTTCAGGAATTTGGAGAGCCCACTGCAAGTACGTTCCAGTTTGAACAGAGTATATTTTTAAGCTGTTACTTTTACTGCAGTATCAAATGCCTGAAAAGCTTATTTCTTTTCTTTTCTAGGCTGTTTTCTCATCAGTATTTTACTTTGCTTCAGTTCCTCTCTACCAAGGCTTTCTCATCATTGGGTAAGAGCTCACTTTTTACTAATAGTGTGGAAAACCTGCGCATAATGAATCGATTTGGGCTAATTAACATGCAAGGCAGGCACATCTCCACTCTGCATGTTTCACAGTACTGCTTCAGAAGATGGGTGTGATCCTTGTCCCCTTTCCGCTCCTCTGCGCTGAGCAAAGCCACTGAGGCAGCACAAATACCTCTAGAAGCCTTTCCAAAAGGATGGTTTGTGACGTTCAGAACACAAGGAGCAAGCCATTCTCCAGGAAGCACTCCTTTGATCCCAGTAAAAAGCAGAGGGACAGTCATTACGCTCTGGTGCCTGCGCAGCAGTGGGAGCCAGTGCCCAGCTCCTGACAGCGTCAGAAAGGGGGGACAACCCAACCTCTTTAACAGGAGGAATCAGTTCCTGTCTAAAAGTCATGGGATTACAAGTGTAATCCCACTATATTTATGGACTTTCAAGTACATACTTAAAAAACAAACAGCAAATTCATCTCTATTGCCTTCTGATGCAAACAGGATCAAGCCTGAACTGTAGAGCAAACTTTGGGGTGGTGACAGGTCTGTCCTTGGCTCCATTAATAACCCTAAAACAACAGTTGCAATACTTGAACCAATCATCTGTGTATGAGTGTTTCTAATCAAAAACCATTCAAAAAGCAAATCTTGCAGGCTTTTCCTACATGCAAACCTCTGGTGTGTTCCGTTTGCAAGTTTTTGTAATATGTATGTCATTTGGCACTTCAAGAATACTGTACTTCCTTTCTGAAGGCTAGCATTTCTGTTTGCTCATCTACACCTTAGATAATTTACTGGTCTTCTACCTTCTTCCCAGGTACTCCACAATTTACACAATGTTTCCAGTGTTTTCTCTAGTCCTGGACAAGGATGTTAAATCTGAAGTTGCAATGTTGTACCCGGAGCTCTACAAAGATCTTCTTAAGGTGTGGGAGACTCTTGTTTGTCTGTTTTGGTTTAAGGCAAGATCCCTGTCTTGATTTGAAACTCTCTAAGTGTGTAAAGTCAAATATATTATCAGTAGATACAGACCTTTATCCTGCGTTTTCAAGCAAAATTGTTTTAAAGGCAAATTTGAATTAACAGATACAACCAGATTTCCTGGCAGTTTATTATTGAATGCTACATGAAATGCAATTTATTAAAAACGGCTGGGGAAATAGAAGTTCCATTCTGTGGGAAATTCTAAGGATTTAATATTACCGATTTGTTCCAAAATGAAGGGGAGAGAGAAATTGTCGGGGATTTGGCACTATCCTGAAGCCAGAAAAGGGGATGGGGGGAAGGGATATGCTCATTTGATGGAGGGAGGAGGTTATCACATAGTTCCGTGAATAGAAATTTGCATCGAGGATGATCTAAAGGGACCTAAAGGTTTGGTTGCTGTGCCATTTTTGTAGCTTTAGCATGAAAGTCAGGTCCTTCTCCTTAGACAAAGAAAACTTTGTTTGATATTTACCATAGAAATATCAGGAAGGTAAATCTTGTCTTAGGTCCCGTCCCCTTCTCCCCCCACCCCGGAAAATTTTTTGAATAACTGGGGTATGCAGACTGGGAACATCTTTCTTAATTGAAGGAAAGGGTGGACTGAGTCTTCAACAGATCCTTTCCCTCAAGGATTTCTGTTAAACAGATACTCTCAGAAGCAAAGCCTGTTTTTCCAACAGCCTGAATAAGTCTCCATCTGGTTTCACTTGTATGTTGTCTCTTATGTCATAAACCACTAATTCTCCAACCATCCTTAGGCCTGGTCTAAACATAGGGTTTTTTTGTACTGGTATAGCTGTGTTGGCTGGAGATGCTTTTTTTTTTTTAAAAACCTATCTGCCTTCAATATGATGGTGATTTGTGTGTGTGTGTCTAGAAATATAATATTAATATATTCATATATATGTGTATACACACGTCTTATATTTCACAGTACAATGACTAAACTCATGAGACATCTTTGCGTTGAATTAATCGTGTGTGCAGTCAGGAAGAGGTTGTACTGTACTGTGCAAGCAGTGAGCTTCCACAGTCCCAGGCCTCCTTCTTGCATCATGAAAAATGAGAATAAAGAGACAGTACCTCAGGGTTGGTTGATTTGTTTTGTTTTCTTTCCAAATCGCCTTTAAATTCTCTTTTATTAATTGATGGGTTGATCTGTAAGTGACTGTTTATAAAAGAAAACCCAACAGAGCTTTGTCTTTTTTTTTTTTTTCTCCCCCACACCAGGGACGACCATTATCATACAAAACATTTTTAATATGGGTCTTAATAAGCATCTATCAAGGTAAGAAATCAACTTCAGCTTGTGCCTTTAAGATGTTTTAATGAGTACAGAATATCTAATTTTTTTGTATTGCAGGAAGTTAAGTAAGGCATGAAGTGAATTTAGCAATGCATCCTTGGGATAATGAATAAATATTTTTTTTTTTTGTCTCGGAAAAATGTGGCAGCATTACCAAAGGAAGAAATTATCTAAAACTAAATATTGGCAGCAACTGGTCAACCCTGTTGTAGGCAATGATGTAGAAGTTCAAAGCATTGTGCCTCTTCCCATTGGGACCATCCTTTGTAATTTTGTGCAAGCTCCTTTCAGTGCTTTAATTGCTCCATCTGTGAAGTAGAGTTTGTGACTCTTCCCTTCTTTTGAAAAAGGTTTTCAGACCTGTGGATTATACAGGTTGTTAAGTCAGCATGCAAAATACAGAATCTGGAGCTTTGTGTATTTTATCTAAACCCTGTCTATTAGAAGTGGCAATAGTTCTGGTTACTTCATAGCCATCTGTAATGAAGGACTAGAGTAGAGCTCAGGTTCTTAATCATATCCCATACACTCTAATTAGGCTGCTAAAACAGTTAAGCAAATGCCTTAATTACAATGCATCTATTTTCCAAAAGTGGATGTAGTAATTGGGGTATATGTCTAAGAAGGTATTTTCTTTCAGTTTGTCTTTTTTTATAAAGTAACCTCAAACTCAAATACTTTCTATAAGTGTTAATCAGAGAATCATGGAAAACATGTAAATAACGTGGAGCTATAAAGCTAAAATGGCACTACGATTCTGTGACAAAACTTCTTGTTTTCCAAAACTCCTTTATCAACAAGAGTCAGAATAAATGTGCCAAAATAAGCAGCTAATTCTTACTGATTTAATTGTTATTACCATCCTCAGGAGGGATTGAAACCAAGAATATAAAAGCTCTCTTGGCATTATCTTCTGAAATCTAATACGGTAGAACCCTACGACAGGGATAGTGGTCTTCTGATGCTGTACAAATATGATGGCAAAGCCAAGGCATTTATAGAAAACTCACAAGTGGTGGAAAGCTAAAGCCAGAGGGTGATGCATTGAGGGAAAGATTTCTTCTTGAGCTAAGACCACTCTCTGGTTACAGTATTTGGTTAAAGTGACTTCACTTCTGATGTGCTAAATAACTAGAAAACAGCAGGCCAAACAATTGGGCTAGTTGCTAGCAGAGATGAGCCTGACCGAAAACTTGAGCAGTCCTAAATTTTGGAAAGTTCACAGCTGGATTTGAACTTTGTGGCTCGAGCTCTAGTCACTTGCAGGTTTTCCCTTCCGAAACTAGCCTAGTGTGATGGATGTTGGTGCGGATTACTCATGCTGCTAACATGAGTTATTTGTGCAGGTGGCTGTGCGGGGCGTTGTGAGCATTCCCTGGCTAGCCAGAATAGGAGCATGAAACAATGCATCATTAACAGTGCTTTAATGTGTACTCCTTTTAGGGGGAAGTGTGAAGGGAGAGATCTTGGCCGAAGTAGTGCAAAGAGAGACTAACTTGTATCCAGTGAACTTTTCAACACCTTGCTTCCATCTGGGCACTGAGGCAATGCAGTAGGTTTTAGAAGTATTTGGTATCTTTTAGCTTCTGAGTAGGGACCAACTGCTTTTCTGGGAGGATAGAGTTTCGTGATGTTAGAAATCTCCTGTTGCCAAAATAGCGTGTATTAATTTCCTATCTCCATGTGTCTATGAATATGATAGACTGTTACAAAAGTCTGGGCACCTCTGCTGTAACTTTTCCCTGTCTTCTCATCAGTTCTGTCTCCTAAATAGTAACTGATTTGTTGTCATTACATTCATCAGGTTTCGTGAAAAACAGTCTGAAGACATGACTATGTTTCAGCCTTTCCAAGACCTAGCAGTGGGTTTTAGAGCTTAGGCTGGTGTTTGAATAAAATACCCAAATGTTCCATTCCCTTGCAGGTAGCATCATCATGTATGGAGCACTCCTCCTCTTTGAATCTGAATTTGTCCACATTGTCGCCATTTCCTTCACGTCCTTGATTCTTACTGAGTTATTGATGGTGGCGTTGACGATCCAGACGTGGCACTGGCTCATGATAGTAGCTGAGCTGCTTAGTCTCTCCTGCTACATAGCTTCTCTGGTCTTCTTACATGAGTTTATTGGTAAGGTTAAATGCCTTTTCTGCAATTGGTTGGTTTATGACCCGAATAGTAACAGGACTGTAAGGACATGAATTGAGTTCAAAGGCTGTTGATGAAGCCAACATAATTACAATGTCAGTGGTTCTGACCAGAATAAGCTCTATTTGATTTGAAGGCACCTGAAGGACATTTTATGGTTCCTTCTCATAGCAAAATGCTAGAGGAGATAAAGGTGGTCAGTACTGCATGCTGCTGAGCGCATCTCATCCTTACTTTCAGAGCTCCACCATGCATCAGCTGTCACATAATAGTGGTCTTTATTTCCATATGAGAACTGAACTTGAGACTAAAAATTTGAGCCTCTGTTGTTGGGTTGAAAGATTTCACCTTTTAACTGGGTGAAGTAGCTGCCTCTAAAACTTACCTTATTTTATCTGCTTCAGTGGGGCCCTTCTCTTGTGGGTTTGGGGGTTTCTTTTGGTTGGCGTTTTTTTGTTGTTGTTTTGCGGGTTTTCTCCTTTTTTTTTTTTTTTCCTGGAACAGAGCTAATCCTTTTCCCTGGCTAAAGGAAAAAGGGTGAGGAACTCCAGATTCCCCCAGTAGCTGTCTAGTTGCAAATATCAGATCTGAAGGGTTTGTTCCAGTGTTCGTTCATGAACCACAAGATGTCACTACTTCTTCCATAAAGCTCTTTGCTAACTCTGAAGACAATGAGGATAACTTCCCAATGGGCTACATCTGTATCTCTTGCATATGGGTACACCAGCTCCATTTTGAACAATGCTTCAACTATTTTTGCAGTGATTCTGAGGTGGTATAACTGAGTCGAGAAATGAGTTTGCTGGACTACCAGCAAAGTAGCAGAGGGCAACTTCCAGAGTCAGAAGACAAGTAGTCTATTTAGAGGAAGCTTAGGATTGCCAGGAGATGGATAGCCCCGTTTCAGATGGGGTATGTATGGGCACTTGCCCGTGAGGTATTGCATGCCTTACTGAAATGTGCTGTGCAGAAAGCTGTATCTTTTGTGGAAGAGAAGGGCAGAAGAGAGAGGAACCAGGGATCCTATGAGCTTTGAACTTGCATGTGGAGAAGGTGAGGCTGTTTAAGAAGCATTGGTAGATTGAATTGCTTTTCTGCGCTTCTTCCAAGACAGTACTTCCCATCTGCATTGACTCTGTGCTCTTTTCTTTTTACAGATGTTTACTTCATTGCAACTTTGTCGTTCTTGTGGAAAGTCACTGTCATCACTCTGGTGAGCTGCCTTCCTCTCTACGTCCTGAAGTACCTGAGACGAAGGTTTTCTCCCCCAAGCTATTCAAAGCTCACGTCCTAGGGCTGCTCTCCTTGCATACCAGAGACAAATATTGCACATAGCTGAGAGACAAAATCATGTAGTTGTTACTATAACGAATGCATCTGATATTTGCGTAAGGATCATGTGGTAATCTCTATTACATGCTGCTTTATTGAAAAAAGACTTCACAACTGCTGTGAACAGAAATGTAACGATAAAAGGGAATTTTTTTGAGGGTGGAGGCACTTGGTAGTTCATCCAGTTCTTGTCACTTTTGTTTAACTTAACTGGGGTCAAATGCGCATAACTGTGATGACGATGGGTTTCTCACGCATGGTTAAAAGTATCTGAAAGCTGCTAACTGACCTTGGAATTTACATTTGACAAATTTAAGTTACTTTTTTAAGTATCTGTGCTGTTCCTTGCATTGTGTTGTGTTGTTTTATGTTATTTATCTTTTTGATTCAAGTAGTTACATTCTTTTTACATCTTGGAAATCCCTTAATGTAGGTGATGCACTATACTGGTGACAGCTGATTCCTGATTTATGGCATGCTGTTTCCATAATGGGGCTCCAGCATGTCGGATCTACACACACTTGAGAATCTGAGCGTGTTTGAGACTCTCCTTCAGTTGAAATGTGGTCACCCTAGTGATTTTGGAAGTATCCAGCCATTGATAAATATGGAGAAATGTAGTCCAAAATGAAGAAATTCAGTTTTGTTTAGCTTTTGTGCTTCCTGTTAAAAGGGGCTGGTGACATAATAGCTTTACTCTGTATTTATTTGTATAGGAGAAAATTATCTAAACTAAAGCAAATCCTCTTTGGAAAAGAAATTTGCAGTTGATCAGACTTGAAATGTGTCGACAACGTGAGAAGAGACTCGTACTGTTCTGCAGACAATGTGGCAGACGTGTCTTGAATCCTTGGAGACTAAAAGGAAAGGTCACAGAGCTGCTACTCCTCACAGCTACACGAAATCTGTTTCCTGTTAGGGTGAAACTGCAAAGATGAGCTGCAAATAAGCTGAGGCACTCCTAGGTGGATGTTGTTCATGACACGCTCCCTGCAGAGAGGCAGTTTTTGAGAACCTTGCGCTTGCTTTGCTCTAAAAACAAAACTTGAATTGGTTTGGAGGCAGGAGTGGGGGTTCGTACGAAGGCGTTAGGCTCGTGCGCAGGGCAAATTTACATACTGATTTTTAATTTTCAAAAATAAAACTCCATGAGGTCTGTTTTTGTAATAAGCATTGGCCCACACTGTTAACACTGTGAAGAGAGCAAAGCGTACTTAGGCTGCTCAGGAGAATGACAGAGAGTTACAGGAACCTTTTACCGTTGGGTCCATGCATCAAACATGGATGAGCCTTAGTGGCAGCCATCCTCATCTAATGGCTGTTTGGTCTGTGCTAAATTAGTTGCTTGCTGTCTCACTCTCACATCATAAAAACCACCGTCAGAGCTGGCACTGCTTGGTGCCGTTGTTGGTCAGCTGCATGGAGGGACCAGGAACGGCAGAGCCCAGAGCCTGAGCTCCCTTCTCCTTTCTCAAGGCAGCCCTTCCAGGTCAGGGCAACCTCACTGGTGTGAGGAGCAGAAGCTCCCTGGTCGTCTCTGTGCCACGCTGAACCTCTTTCATGGACTGCCAGCTTCTGTTGCCACTGCTACAGGCGTTCCACTGTCACAAGCAGCGCAATGCTGCATTAAAAGGTCTGGTGTGAAAATCAGTGGAAAATGGGAGTGTGGTTCTAAAAGAGCCGGCGTCTGTGTTGACCCATAGTGGTACGTCTTGAATTTTCAGATCTAAGATAGCCGTGGCTTGTGTGGTCAATGTGTGGTAATTGCTCGGGGGAATGTTTTGCACAACCTGACCTGCCTTCCTTGCTCTCAGTTCCTGTGAGTAAATATCAAAGAGGAGGGGAAGCAAGTTCCAGAAGATAGGAAGAAAAATTGGATGTGCTTCATAATGCACGTGGCTTGGGGTGAGTGGAGGGTGCAAGGCTGTATGACCTTGTCATTACTTCATATGGGCAAAACCCTCTTGATACAGAAAATTATGTTTCAAAATCCTTCAGGAAAAAGAACAGCAAACGCTCTTTAATCTAACACACTGGTTTTTTTCTTTTGTGCCAGTCTTCTGATAAGACTCAATTTCTGAAGTCCTGATAAATAGCAACCAACTTTAGAAACATCCTACTGACTAAGGAGAGATAATTCTTAGTATTCATTTTTTCATCATATTTTGAAAAATTGCCTGGCTTTCTTTATCTTCTAAATTTTTTTCCTAAAAATAATAATAATATATATTTCTACCCATTTGACATGCATGTTCATGTTGGGAAAGGCCCTAGGAGTCCAACGCTTCTCAGTGTTTGTCTCACGGAGGAAAAGCAGTGCCTGAACAGCCCATTTGTGAGGGAGTTGGGCTAACAGCCTTTTGTGAATTATGCCACTTTGCCAAAAAGATATGTAATGTCGTCTTTTTCGTGACTTGCTGCAGCTCCTGGATAGTGTCAGCCATGCATGTGTTTTGGAGTCCCCAGTCAGCATTTGATTTAAGTACATTTAAATACAAGAATCAGGAATTTCTTTTGGCAACTTCTTGTGACTGAGAAGTCCCTCTTGTCCGTTGGCAAACACATCGCAGTACCCATCTTTGTAAAGCCCTGTCCCTATCTAGTGTGTATTAGTAGTTAAATGTCCTGCAAGAATAACAGTGCCATGCTACTGTATGTAAATATTTGAGACTTATATATGGTAGAATTCACTGTTTCCTGAAGTCAATACAGTTTACATGGAGTGGACCATATTTGCAAAATACTAGCTTACACCGAGAAAGGCAGTGAATTGTGATTTCTGTTATATTTATTGAATCATAACTTCAATAAGGAACACATAGTTAGTGGAATTTATAGTAATCTGTAGCTGTGTTTTGGGGTGCAAATTATATTCCTTTGCAGCTAGTTTTTTTGCACAAGGTTGTAAATCCAGGAAGTAATTTCTGTCTGGGTATACGCTGCATTTTTTTAAAGCAATCAGAAAATTAAAACTGCCCTCTAACAAATAGCAGGAGAGAGGAATGATTGTTGTATTTTTCAAGTTTAGCACTTTATGTCTGCAATCTATTTCTCTTAAGTTATTTAAAAAATGTTTTTAAAAGCAAAGTTTAATACATATGTTCATACTTACTGTACGTATAAATGGATTCTCTGCTGGAAATTTAATTAATCTTTTTCCTCTAGTATGCTCATCATTTGTGCTTATTGGGAGTGAAGCATTGTTTTCTTCTTCTGTGTAGTATCTTGTTTGCAGCCTTACTTAGTGTTCTTCCTATTCCTTTTTTTTTTGTTCTGGTGTATGTACTGTAGCAGTTCATATAACTTGTGTGCTTTGGGACTGCGCTCCCAGTGACGCTGTAGGGTAGCGGTGTACGTCTCGCCGTGTGCTCTTGCTTCCCGTGGCTGCTTTCAGGAAGCCAATGCTCTGTGCCGTGCTGCTGCGGTGGTTAGTTAACGTGGAGGTTTTGTGACATGCACCGTTCTCTTCTTGCATCTCTGCAGTAATTCCATGTGTGTTGCAACCCTCTTTTTTTTTTTTTTTTCTTTTCTTTAACTCTATATTTGTTTCCTCCATAGAGCTTGTCCTGTTTATCTTTGCAAACATTTGTTTTGCTCAGCTTATAGTGCAATTGAAATGCAACATTCTTTATTTGACAGCAGCAGCTTAAATCTGTGCAGGGTCTTATCAGAACTGGGCTGGGGAGCGATGAGTGACATCCCTGGTGTCCCCTCGGTGTTGAGAACTACGTGCTGAGAGCTACAGCTGTGGCTGGACCAAACTGAGAAGCACCAAAGGCGTTGTTTTTCTGTGGTCTACTGAACTATCACAATTAAACGCCGCGACAATCTCTCTTGTCCTCTGCAACTGCTGAGGAAAACTTTGCTACAGTTGAGCCGTTTGTCAGGGAGCCCCGGAGAGTTAGATATGTGAATCCCTAAAGCTTGTCTTTTGGCTTTATCTTTTGAAGAAAGCTGCTGCACCATCTGATGCATCATAAATCCTTGGTTTGTACAAGCAGTGCTCTAAACCAGGTATGTGAACTACTATTGCATGCAGCTCACCCTCACAAGTTCTTTGCATACAGCTGTTCGGATGGGGTTTGACTCATCTGCACAGTTGCTGGGGCCAGTCCAGTGCCCCCTAAAATCTTCAGTGTGAGCTGGATGGGCTCTTGTATTTTTTTTTTATTATTATTAGTTATTTCATAATTAATAAACTATTTGATTTGCATGAAATCCTGGGTTCTACAGCTTTGCCAATATGGTCCATTACTACTGCCTACTACAACTTGTGTACTTATATGCCTTTGAGAACATTTTTAATTGTTAAAATTGTTAAAAAATAAATGTTAATTTAATTTAATTTTTAATTGGGGAAATGGATTCTGGTGTCAAAATGGTATTTACTGTGATGCCGATGTTTTGTACCTGTCATCTAGTTAAACAATGTGTAAATACTCTTGATTCAAGAGAAATACGAATGCCAGTTATTTATTGTTCTGTGGAGTCACATGTTGCAGATGTGTAAAAACTTAAAAGGGAATGTTGTAAAACGAGGTGGAAAAATAAATTTTATGCAACTTCTTTACTTCATCCATGTATGCGGTGTATGATGCACCTGAGTTAGTCCTGGCGTGATCAGGCCAAGATGTGTTTTGACAGAGTTGTAAGTATATAGGTTAAGTTGCATTGTGGTCCTTTAACTTGCCTGCATGGGAAGTGCGTATCTGGGAAATGGTCAGTACTTTCTGCTGATCGGTGCAGATCTGCTTCATTAATTTCTTTGCTAGGAACAGTTTTCTAACAATCTTAACAGGAAGGGGGGTTTTGGGAGGGGTGGTTGATTGTTGAGTTTTTTTGTTCGTTTTTTTTTGTTAAAGTATTGGTGTAAGCTTTTGCTGCCCTTGGTTTTATTAGTGACTTCTTGCAAGATCGCTTTCCGCAAGTCGTCATTGCAGTGGAATGGCGTGGATTAGCTGC